AGGTTCATGAAGCTGGTCTCTGCTCTCGGGGTCGAATTTTAAGGAGGACGCAGGCCCTGCTCTGACAGAGTTTGAGTGGTTGAGCCCCCAGGGCCCACGGGCTCAGGAGTGGGTGACAGAGGTCTGGGAGACAAGACTCCAGCCCATAGGGAGCTTGGACCTCACCAGGGAGACGGGGCCGTTCTCTGCACAGCCGCAGGAGCACCCCAGCATCCTCAGAGCCGGACCGCTGTGGCTGCTGAGATGCTGACATCAGGTCTGAGAGGCTGCGAGGCTCCAACTGGCACAAAAGACAGTTGGAAGGCGGAACCAAGAGCATCTAATGCACATCCAAGATCAGGCCGTCATTGCAGCAACAAAATTTCGGGGGAGAGAGAGCTCGGAAAGGGGATTCAGCAGCCAGCCGAGGAGGCATCCAGAATGAGGGAGATTGGCGTTAGACTTAGGCGCGAAGACAATTTGGACAGGTCGAGTCGAGACAGGGCCGAGGGAGGAGGGGTGGAGGCCACCTGGGAGGAGAGCGTGGGGTGATGGACAGCCGCTAATCTGAGGGACAGAGAGATGGATGGAAGGAAAGAAAGACGGACGACGGATAGATCAGTGCTTCTAGAAGCCTGTGTAGACAGGCGCAACCCACAGAGCTTGTTCAGATGGAGATTCTGTGTGCCCAGGAATCTGTGTTTTAACAGGCTCCTGGGGGAGTCTGATACAGCGGATCCCAGGCCCACACGGAGACACCCTGGAGGAAAGTGGACAGATTGCCCCCACCCCACAGGCAACCACGCTGTGTGTCCTTCCCGTCCGTGTTCTCTGTACACAGCAGGTGAACACACAGGGGAGTCTATACCCATTGTTCTGTGATTAGCTTTTTTGTTTAATTGAGGTGAAATTCACATAAAGTAAATTTAACCATTTCAAGTGCACAATTCAGTGGCATTTAGTGCATTCACTATGTTGTGCAACCATCACCACTCTTTGGTTCCAAAACATTTTCATCACCCCAAAAGGAAACCCCGTCTCCATAAGCAGTCAGCCCCATTCTCCCTGTCTGCCCAAACTCGGGCAGCCACCAGTCTGCTTTCTGTCTCCAAGGATTTACCTGTAAATATTCTGGATGTTTCGTCTAAACGGAACCATGCCCTATGCGGCCTTTTATTCTATGATCAGCCTCTTAACGAGACATGGTGGAGATCCTTCCAGGTGAGCCAGGTGGAAAGAACGCTCCTCTGTCACACCCTCACCATGGGCGGGTCCCGCCCCGAGCACTGGTGCGGATCAACTCATGGAGACCCACAGACGGTGCTGTTATCAAGCCCACTGTACAGACGTGGGGACGGAGGCTGGCAGAGGCAGGGTGCTCACGTGCCCAGGCTCACACCTGGATTCGATCCGGGGTGGATCCAGAGTCCTTCCTTCATCTGCCGCCTCTGGGCTCCTCTGCAAGAATGTGTTTGTCTAACAAGTGTCATGAAAACAAGTGTTTGAAGAAGGAAGGCTTCAGCTCAGCCACCTGCTTCCGCCCTGGCCCGGATCCCTCTTTGCTGCCTGTGTTTTGTGCTGTGCTGCTCTCTGGGCCCTGGATTTGGGGGGCAGGGTCTTGTCTCTTTGGCCCCCTTTTGTGGCTGCTGAGGTCAAGGCCGTTTCTTCATTTCTTTTGTACTTTGACCAGGTTCAGCACACGGCTTGTCCTCGTGTGGGTGGGAAGCCACCACCCCTGACCCCGGCCGATCTTGGCATCAGAAGTCCTGGGTCCAGGTTTCTGCCGTTTATTAACCAGCGCCTCAGTTTACCTGTCTGTACAATGGAGTGTTATCCCTGTGTCGAGTGCTCAGGGGTGGGATGAAAGGAGATGAGATGGGCGTGCAAAGCCACCGCGCCCCACGCCTGACTCCAGCCAGATGTTGCATGACATCTGTGTGATGGAGTTGGCACGTTGGCGAGGAGAACCATTACAGGAGCCTCAAAGGGCAGGGGTGGGAACCCCGCAGGCCCCACTGCTGTCTGCACAGTTGGTGTCAGGAGGGAAGACTGCAGGGGCACAGTTGGGAAGGACGGACACTCGGTTTTCTTCCTGCCTTTGCCCAGGCCAGAAAGTGGTTTTTCATGATGCCCAGCTTTGAGCTGAGAGCTCGGGACTGCCCTCTCGGCTCGGCATGAGCCTTCACATCTCCCCTCCTGCTGGCCAAGCCTGAACTCTACAACTCTACCCCTTTGCTCCAAAGCAGGCATGGCAAACTCAGTGCCACAGTCCAGGCAATAGAGCATGGTGGGGTCTGTGGCCAAGTGGAGAAGGCATGCCTAAACTTTGTTTGACAAAAGGATGGTCACTCCTCAGCTCCAGCCTTCTGGTGCCAAGGCTTCCAGTTTTTAAAGCATAAGCAGGAAATTCATAATTTTATATAAAATGTCTTTATTTCTTAAACATAAATGAGCCAAATAAGCGTTGTCTATATGCTGTCTCCACTCCCGGCCACGAGGGTTCAGTCTTAGTCCTGGTCAACCCACAAATCTCTCTGGGAGAAGGCCCTTGTGTCTTAAGACATTTAACAGTACAAAATCTAAGCAAGAATGCCTGGCTTCAAATACCAGCTGCCTAGCTGTGTGACCTTGGGCAAATTACTTAACCTCTCTGTGCCTCCATTTCTTCATCCGTAAAATGGCAATACAAGTTTTGCTTTAATAATCAGACTACTTATTATGACTATGATTATTATTCCCTTCGAGAGTCTGTGCAGAGGTCAGTCAAGCACGGTGGTTAAGTATGGACTCTGGGGCCAAATAGAATGAGGTTTAGATCCCACTCCTGCTGTTAGCTGACCCTGGGCAGAGCATTTGACCCTCTGAGGCTCTGTTCTTGTTTGTAAATTGGTGAATGGAAATCACTCCTACACACGGCGTTGTGGCCAGGATCAGGTTAGCTGACGTCAGTGAGTTCCTAGCACAGCGCGTGGTACGTGGTGGTCCTCACCCGGTACCTGCTATTCCCACACTTCGGGCTGGTGAGTGGAGGGAGGAGGAGGTCCAGGGAGTGGAGGTGAGGCTGGGGGAGCCTGGGAATGGGACAGCCAGGACAAGGGAGGTAAACAGGCCAAATCCTCGGGTGTGCATGGAGCCAGCGCTCCCACACGAGTCTGCTCTCACTCGGCCAGAGGTCTGAAAGGAGGCAGAGGAGGACGGAGGAAAAGAGCCAGAAGGAGACATCTCACATCTTCCTTCTCGGGAGGTGCCGCGGCCACAGGCGGGCCTGCCCAGACCACGCGGCAAGAGCCCGGCTTCTCCTGGAGTTCTTGCCACGATGTGGCTCGTATGTCTGCTGAGTACATAGTTGTATCACAGGGAACTACATTTCCCAGGCTCCTTTGCTCTCCCATTTCCTGGTGGGTTCAGCCAATGGGAAGCCCTGATGGGAGATCAGCCGGCGGAGGAAGGGCGAAGCCAGGGTATTTCTGCCCGTCTGTCTCCCTGTGCTTCCTGGGGCATCCCTGGTGGAGGCTTTGTCTTCTCCCTGGCTCTCACTTCCACCGGAAAGGCCTCCCTCCACGATCCTGGCTTCCTCTGGGCAGCCCCAGTTTCTGCCTCTGGTAACACCACCCCCCATTGTCCCATCACCCCTAAATTGGCAGCGGCCTCCTGCTGTTGCTAATCTCTGGGTGGTCTCACCATCCCTTGCTTGTCTTCTCAGCTCTTCCAATTCCCAGGATTAAATTACCCCAGTTTGAAAGACCTGGAGAGGTTCCTGTTTCCTGGCTGGGCCTGGCTGGCGCGACATCTGATACTTAAAGAGTTACCCATTATGCACAAACCCATGCAAACTCGGAGGCCCTGTTTTCACCTCACTTTAGGGGGGCACGTTCTGTGTAGACCAAAGCTCTCTGCGCCGGGAGATGAGTCAGAGTCAGACCCACTTGTAACCAATTCCAAAGCTGCCTTCTTTCCCAGTAAAGGACCACGTTGGTGAATTTGCACTCAAGTTTCACAGTTACACGTCTCATTTTATTTCCGTCTTGACGCCACCACTTATCAGACGAGCCATTTAATTCCTCCGAGCCTCGGTTTCTCCTCCGTAAAATTGAGGAAAGACTAGCACCTCCCCTCTAGGATTACTGTGAGGTTTAAATCAGATTAATACTTTAGGTGATGGCTCTTCAGTGCCTGGTACAACAGCTCAAGGATCCTGGGCTCTGGATAACTGTCTGACCACTCTGGTGGTTACTCCAACCCTCGGCCTCTGCTGATTGTTCTGTATGGGGGGAAGCATTAATGATAAATGATTCACCCAGTTGCATCTCCCTTTGCGAGTCGTGTGCTCATAAAAGCCATTCATTCATTCAGTGAGCACCTGTCTGTGCCAGGCACCGGGCTGTGTGCTGGAATCCAGATGAGCGAGGCCCCCCCCCTGCCCCACACACAACAAGGGCCACTCGACACGGAACAGGGATCAAAAGTGGAACAGCGTGCACACTGTGAGCAGGAGAGGTCCCAAGAGGAGTTAGTTTCTTTCTGACACTGAGGAGAATGGTCAGAGGCTTCCTGGAGGAGGTGGCGTTTGAATTATCTTAAGTGTGTTGGGAATACGAAGCAGGATGTAGTGGCTAAGAGTGCAGCTCAGCACCTGTGTGGATTTGAAGCTGGAGTGAGTGGCCTCGGCCCACCCCTCACCCTTTCTGACCTCAGGACCCCCACCTGTTAACCTGGGGTCCCCAAGATCGATGGAGCAGGATGGGTAAGAGCGCAGGCCCTGGGACCAGCCCGCCCGGCTCCTCACTGGCTGGCAGGACTTGATTTCCCGTGCCTCAGTTTCTCCCTCTGTAAAATGGGAAGGTGATCATCCCTGCCTCGCAGGGTCGGTGGGAGGGCTGAACGGGTTAGTTCACGTGAAGTTCTGGGTCCAGCACGTCGTCACCCTCGCTCACCAAGTGGCACAGAAGAGGAGAACGCTTTTATGTCATCGGATGTTTCGGGGGCGTCCCTGACTTTCTGGTTTTCGTCCCTGCCTGCAGCCGCCACCTTCATGGAACATTGGAAGCGGAAACAGATGCGGCTCAATTACCGCTGGGACCTCACAGGCTTCGAGGAGGAGGAGGTGAGTGGGTTTGGCGCCGCGCCCCCCACGCCCTCCCCCGTGTCCCCCTGCCCCCGCCCCGTTACCTCCTGGGGACTCACATGGAAGCCGGAGGTCGTAAAGCCGGGGCGAGGCTGTGCCCCCGCCCGCTTCTCCCCTCATCTCCCTGGTGCCTGAATCACCCTCGGTTGTTGGGGCGACCGTTTGATGTCTGCTGGAGTGTTTTTGATCTCGATGCTCACATGGACGCGCCACCCACCAGCGCAGTCGGGGACGCATGCCAGGGCTCACCGCGCTGACCTCATCGTGTCTGGGGGAGGCCGGTGGGTCTGGGGAGGGGACCGCCGCCGCCCACGAGGCTGAGTCCCCAAAGGCAGCTCTGAGCCTTTGCCCTGGTGCCAAACCCGCGCTCCTCAGAGCCAGCTCCCCGCCTACAGTGGGGCGCGGCTGAGAAGCGGGAGCAGATCCCTCCCCAAGAGAGGCTGCACCAGATGCTGGGCGTCTTTCTGCTCCAGAGAGGGGGGCACGCGGGTGGCCACTGCGATGGTGGCGAACCCCTCTCCCCGGGTTCCTCCGGAGAAGCTGGCCGCTGCCCTGTCCCGAGTTGCCAACTCCAGCCGGAATTCCCATGGCATGAGCGGGAATGAGAAGGAAAAACGGTCCCCACAAATAGCCACGGCGCAGGGCAGAGCTGTAAGGTGTGGCCTGATGACAATACCTAGTTTTATAAAACACCGCACGCTTTTTTTTTTTTTAAAGAGAAACTGCTCATGCATTTTCGTTGTCATATGAAAATCTCGCCCATCAATTTTTTAAACATCCCTATTGCATTTCCCACACAACGTGCTTCCTCCTGAGACTGGATGGGTGGGTCAGTCTTCAGCCGAGTGTGTAGTGTAGGCGGAGAAGCTGGAGCACGGGCTCTGTGCTGACAATACTGTTGAGAGACAAGGGGGCTAGAGGCTGCTGGGAGAGGCATGGTGGCTTAGAGATGGCAAAGCGGCCATCTGGGTCCCAGCAGCCTGGGTGGCATCCTGGTTTGGCACCGCCCTCGCTGTGTGACCTGGGGCCAGTCGCTTTCAATCTCTGTGCATCAGTGTCCTCACCTCTCAAGTAGAGACTGAAGAATGGTCCTCATTCGAGTTTGAGGGGAGCTCAATGGGTCAACAGATAAAACGCACTTAGAGCAGAGCCCAGTAAGTGCCCCATAACCGGTCACCCGGCTAGCCACCTCTGGGCTCAGCCCTCTTCCACAGGGCTCTCATTATCCCCTGTCGCAAATGGCGAGACCAAGGCGCATGCACCCAGTCCGTGACATGCGGCTGTTCTGGGGTGGAGCCAGGTTGTGGAACCCGGCAGGGTCTGGGTCAGCCGTCTGCCTGGGCGGGTTCCTTCCTTGTTCCTGTTTCAATGAGAAAGATGCAAATAGAACAAACAGCAGTCGTCGTCCTATTATTTTAGAAGATTTAGCATGTCCTTTTCATGACGTCCCTGTGGTTGGGGGAACATTGGGGGATGGGGGCCAGTCCCCTTGTTCAACCCCTGGGAGACCCATCCCATGATCTCTTCACGCTGACCGCTCCAGTGCCTGATTTGGGGACAGCGATCAGCGCCATTGGGCACGGGGCTCAAGGGGTCTGAATGAGTTATCCAAAGTGAGCCCCCCACGGCTGGCCAGGGCCTCTTTGGGGAGTTAATCACCTGGGGCAAAGGGATGGCCTCTCCACACAGTTGGAACCCCAGGCGTTGGCTCCCAGAGTAGAAGGAGTGTGTCCGGTCGACCGGCCTGTGTGGCCTTCCCTGAGTCGAAATTTCAGTCCGGCGCCCCCTCGGGAATTCCTAAAACACGCGAGCTGCAGAGCAGCGGCTGGCGGTCATCCTAAAGTGGCAATGGTCTTCAGCAGATCCGGGATTCGTTCCCCAAGTCCTAGTCCACCTCTGTCCACTTACTTTCCTCCTGGTTCTTAAGAAAATTATCTTTAGAAGACATGGCTTGTTTCTTAAAAAAACAGCACAAGTAATGAAATCTTTTTGTTTTTGTCTTTACGTTTCTGGTTCCCCGAAGGAGGCTGTCAAGGTTTGGAAATTTTTGTCACTCTTCTCTCTTCATAGCCTGTCTCCCCGGGAGAGGGACCTCGCGCACCTGATCCGTCTGTTTCTACCGCGCAGCTCCCCGCAGTTCTTCTACCTCGGGGGGCAGGGGTGGTCTCTGCTTCCCCCCACCTCCGGGTCTCTCTTAACCCCGTCTTCCGTTCCAGCGCCCTTCGCTGACCTGCTCTGGGCTCCCCCGGGGCCTGGCGCCTCTGGTCTGCCCACGCTTGCTGATGCTTTCCTGCCGTCCCTTCTGACCCCCGCGGCTCCTGACAGAACGTTCTCGGGGGCCCGTTCGTAGCTGGCTGTTCACAATGAGAAAGTGGGCCGCGGGGCGGGCTGCAGCCTGGCACAGACTTACCTGCCTCCGGGACACAGAGCCAGATTCTGTGGCCTTCCCAATGGGCTGGGGTTCCCAGCAAGGGGAGAATCCTGGATAGACTGTGCAGAGAGTTCTAAATTAGAAATGGTACCAACCGCCAGCTAGGAACTGGCCCCAAAGGCTGCTCAAGGCAAGTCTATGGACTGAATTTGCCATGTGTGCTCATGTTGAGGATCTCAAACTCACGATTAACAAGGCTCCCTGTTGACTTTCGCAGGACCATCCCAGAGCCGAATACGAAGCCAGAGTTTTGGAGAAGTCGCTTAGGAAAGAATCCAAAAACAAAGAGGTACGGTGGCCGCCGCCAGTTGGCTTTCCCAGTAGTAAAACACTGTATGTTCATCAACAGTATAGACCGGGATCGGCAAACACTGTACGTTCATCAGTGGTATAGACTAGGGGCCAGCCCCCAGACAGGGGCCAGATAGTAAATGTTTTAGACTCTGCAGGCCTCTGTCACAGCTACTCAATTCTGCCATTGTAGCACGAAGCAGCCATAGACAGCAGGTAAACAAATGGGCCTGGCTGTGTTCCAATAAAACTTTATTTATAAAAATAAGCAGGGGGCCGTATTTCACCAGAGGCCGTAGTTTGCCAAACCTGCTATAGATCTACCTTCTTAATCTACCCTGAGGGTGATCTCAAATTTCAGCCAACATTTCAACATCAAGAACCAGGTAGCTTGGCAGGTTTTGCAGTACCCTTGATGTTCATGGTGGGCACCCCCTTGTGTTCTGTGTTGAATGATGAAATGGAAGGGTTTGCCCAACCAGGGTCCCTGAACCAATGGCTAGTTCGTTGTTTCACGCACAGACTACGAAAATGAGAGAGATGTTGTTTTTGTGGTGTTCTCAAGGCCATCATCTTTTTATAATAAATGCCTTTCTTTCTCCCCAAACCTCTCATTCGAGTTGGCGGTCTTACGTTCGCAGCCTGAATTCTCACAAACCTCTAGAGGTTCTTGGCTGTTTTTTTTAAGGAGGTATTTTTACATGACCTGGGATAAGCACGGAGCCCCCCACCCCAGGCCCTTGTCAGCCTCTAACTGTGGCTGGGGACGTTTGCACCAGTATTGAAGGGATGGGGAACAGTTGAAAGATGCTCTTCCCAGCTCCCACATTTGCTCTCTCGGCCTCTGGGACTGATCGGGACCAACCCCGGGGTTTATCTTTCCTTGTCATTGTGTCACATGGACAGGGTTTGCTGGTTCAAAGTAGCTGGGGGTCACGATTGCCAAAATCCTATCCGTGAGGTAAAGTGGGTGCACCAGAAGCCCCCTCTGGGGCTCCAGCTCCCGTAACACGGCAAAAATCCAGCTTTGTCCTGCCCCAGCGAGAAAGGGGTGCTCCTCTCTGAACACCCTCTTACAGTCTGAGTGGGTGCCAAAAAAACAACCACAAAAGTATGAGTTGTCTCCCCAAATAAGGAGACTGCCTTTTCAATTTAACAGATCAGAACGTGTGCGCCTTCCAGCGCATGCTGCCTTCTGAGCAGCCACTCTGTGGCCCTGAACGGCTCCGTTAGCCCCTCTGGGCCTGTTTCCTCCTTCTAAAGGGAGGGGCGTGGACGCCACTGCCTCTGAAGCCCTGCAGGCCTCCACTGTGGGCCACTGAGACCCGTGTTCAGTGCGGCATCCTCAGCCCCAAGACGGTCCACCCCGTGGCTTTACGGCGGCACCTCTTAGCGTGAGCATGGATGGGTATTCCGTTCCTTCCTAAGGAAAAAAAGAAAAGCTTTGTGGCACACACCACATCCGTTTAAGTCAAGGGATTTAATCAAGCTCAAACGGAGGATCTGGGCAGTGGTGCCGGGAGCATCTCCCAGACCCTCCGTCACTCTGTCTCTTGGCTTTGACCCAAGGTCTTTGATCACGTGAGAGCAGCAAGGTCTGGGGTTAGTCTCTGCAGGGTCCGATGGTGACCCCAGGCCCTGTATGCTTCTGGTGGGTACATCCTTTATTTCCTCTTCCATCTCATTGGCTCCCAGCGGCTACTTTATGGTTTTCATTTTTCCCCCAGCTATGGCACCAAATTCGTTCAGGAGAAAAGAAAAAAAGATCCAGCCCTTAATTGGTATATTAGCTTAACGAATCGGGGTGTGGCTTCCTTCCCGTTGGCGTAAAATGCTCCGAGTAATCCATGCCTTTGCACAAAATGCACCATGTAAGTGACAGACCCTGTCGGGCAAGATGGGTGTTCCTGAGCTCCCTCCCGGGCTGGAGTCTTTGTCTCAAAAACTTCGTCTCTGTTTCCGTGACCTTTGTCGCAGCCTTTCTTTTAGAATGTGGGTCTCGGCCGTCTCTTGTTGGTTTAAAACGCCCGGGACCTGCGTCAGCCTTGGCAGCGAGCACACCACGGGGCGAGCCTGCTGCCAAGGGGGCGACGGCGGCCTGGGCGCCTGAGACCCCACCGTGCTCTCTTGTTCCCTCCACCCGCCCTCAGAAGCGCCGGCATATTCCGGAGGAGTCAACAAACAAATGGAAGCAGAGGGTTAAGACAGCCATGGCGGGGGTGAAATTGGTACTTTTCTCTCCTTCGGGGGCCACGCGAATCTTGACTGTGGGCGGACGAGCAAAGTCCGTTGTGTTTTCCTCGACAAGCTCTGTTGTATTTTTTTTTAACCCCCACATCTGTGTTTCTTTGCCGTCCTTCCGCACCCAGCGAGCTGTGACGCGTGTTGAGATGTCACTGCATGGCTACGGTGGGTTCTTGTTGGGGGGAGGGGCTCTGGCCTTACTCTGAGCTTGTGAAACCTGCTTGTCACAGCTGCCTGCGGCCGTCCTCGGTCCTCTCGTTAACACGCATGCCACCCACCCCTGGAATGAGTGGCCTCCAGTGACATGCCCTCGTCCGCGTTCCTTGACCTAATACATGCATTTTCCCATTTAAAAATCCTCCCCCATCCTTGAAACATCCCAGGTTAGCAACAAGCTTCTGCCTAGGTTCCTCCAGACCAAGCCATCCCCGAGTCAGGGAGCCTCCGGGCCGCGTGTCGCCACGGCGTGCCGTTGCTACGCGGCCAACAGCGTTTCAACTTGTCGTGCTAGTTGCGTGTTTCGACTCGCTCTGCAGAGGAAAATAACTATTATGGTCTGGGTGGCAAAGGGCAAAACATCTTAGATCTTCTAGCCTTAGAAGTGAGACTTTCATCTCAGAAATGGGTTCCAGATAGAGGTTCTTCCAGACGTGGATCCAAGAGTCTGATTTAGAAAAGGGTTTGGCGCTATTGTGCCCCGTGCACAGGGGAATCACGTCGTTAAACAACTCTTATTTCTATTATTACATGACATCATCGCGTAGGTGATGACCTTCTCTGAATGCTAGATGTTTGCATCGTACATCACCTGCAGCCATTTTTTAAAGTTTCTCAGTATTTCTGTTGTCCAGGTTGTTCACGCAAACACACGCGTGCACACACACACACACGCATGCACACACACAGAGACTTCTCTCCACCGTGATAGTTCCCACCAGGTGACCCTGCATTGTTTCGTATTGTAGACGGACAAGGTGAAGCTGACCTGGAGGGACCGGTTCCCAGCCTACTTCACCAACTTGGTTTCCATTGTCTTCATGGTATGTTCCGGAAGGCTGAGCGGGGAGGAGAGCGGGAACCCCACAGGGAGATGTGCGGCGCTCACCTAGACTAGGTTCCGCCGTCAGCGTGGCGTTGGCTTTGACCCCGGGGCGTGGTGGGGCGGTGGGGGTTGGGGAGATTCCTCCACTGCCTGTAAAATGGGAAGAGGCCACGCTTCCACCGTGACCCTGGGGGCTCCTTGTAATTAGTCATTCAAACCTGAGATTTCACAGATCGTATTTAAGACGAAACTAAGTTTTAAAGAAAAACAGTAAATAAATAATGCAGAGACAGGACAAAAATTAGGATGGTGCCACTCAGGTGACTGCGGGTCTATGACTCTAGGCTCGTGGATACTGCTGATTTGAATAAATCACCCAACGCCTTGGCCCCAATTGATTGAGCCTCCTCCCTGGAAAGTCTCAGCCCAGTGCTAGCTGTTCTGTCATCCTCCCCCAAGAGGTCAGGGCCACCTGTGGGCACTATAGAAATGACCGTCCCCTCGTCCAACCCGGGAGCTTTAAATCAGAGCCTTGCACAGCCCCCAACCCCTTGCCTGGCACCCAGGGGCCCCAGGTTGGCCTCCCTGGCCCAAGGGCTGAGCGTGTGCCCAGCTGGCCTGAGAGCCTTGTGACAAGTCTCATTCAGTCCTCATACGTGCCTGTACCCGTCCCATCCCCCTCCTGCTGATGAGGACACTGAGGCGGAAGCTCTGGCCCCCTCCTCAGGCCTCCAGCCAGGAGGTGGTGGGGCCAGATGCCACTCAGGCCGTCTGCCCCGGGCCCTGCTCTTCTGTAGGAGCTTGGAGACGCAGAGGCCGTCTCCTCCTGTTTCCCCATCACCTCCGCCTTCCCGGGGAGAGGAGGGGGGACATGGAGGCCAGTGCAGGCGGCCCCTCTGTGAAGCAGTTTCCCAGAAGACCCGCCCACCCCTTTGCTTGCATCTGGCTGGTCAGACCGTTTCGCCAGGCCACCCCAGTCTGCAAGGAGGCTGGGAAATGGGCGTGTGGTCCCTCCCAGCAGAGCGGGATAGTAGGGAGGGAATCAGCGGGCCCTTGATATTCTGCTGAGCCCGTCATAGGGGCGTCGGTCACCGTTGTGCCCACGCAGGAGCTACATTCACTGAACAACTATCGGCTGAGCACCTACGATGTGTCCCCGCATCCTGGTGCTGGAGACGCCGGTGTGAACACACCAGCCAAAGCCTGGCCTCCTGGCCCTGCCCTTCCAGAGGGGAGATCGCGCCCAGGAAGGGAGACAGCTGTAGGGTTGCCTGTCGTGGGGGCACACCAGCCCCCCAGCAGGGAGAGGGGGCGCTTTCCTTGCTGAGTCACCCTGCAGGTCTGGCCGCCCCGTGTGCGCCTCCACACGCTGGCACGAGGGACGTCTCCGGGGCCATGGCGGTGCCTTCCCCAGGAGGGGCCCCTTGGCAGGAGTGAGGGATTTTCCCAGGAAAGCCCTCATTCCCGGAGCTGGCTGGGGAGTGGCACCCACACCTTGCCACAGGCCACCCCTTCGTCAGGATGTGGTGTGGGCGGACGTTTTCCTGGGCGGAGGGTGGCCACTGTTTAGTCACCCACAGCTGTGTGCAGAAGAGGAGTTCAGTGGCCCAAAGCCTAAACTAAGAGCTTTCCTCGATTTCTGATGTCTGTGGTCTCCCTCTGGGGTGAGCCAACCACAGCCTTTCCAGCTGCAACCTGGGAGACACACACACAGCCCTGTGCCCCTGCAGGACGGTCCTGGGGGCCACGAGGGACCCTTCTAGCTGGGGCGGGGCTTAACGGGAGTGAGGGACATGGGGCTCGGGGAGCTGCAGGACCTGGAGCCTGCACCCCACAGGTGGGGTCAGGCTTGGCTGCCAGCCCGGTGCAGCCGCCCTCCATCCTCAGCGTGTCCTCAGGATTCGGATTTTCAGGAGTCCTCACCCCAGGGCAGGACAGGGTGAGGCCTGAGTCTTCCCAGTTTAGTTAGGGCCTTGGAGGAAAAGGAACCCAGGCAGAAAGACAGCTCCACACGGAACAAACTTGTCATCCTAGCCAGCTCGCAACCCGGTCTCTCAGGCAGCCGCCAGCCTGAGTTTTATGGGATGTTCTGGTCCAACAGTGGGTTTGGCAAGGTGAGGGGCTCGCTCTCGGGGACAAGCCAGAAGTATGTTGGTGGCTTCCGGGGAGGCTGGGAGAAAGGGCCCAATCCGTTGTCCCAGCCAGACCTGCAGCACTGCCCGCCCAGGATGGGACCACCTTGTGCCCCATCCACCTCCTGTGACAGCAGTCCTTCCGAGAATGTCACTGCTTTTCTCAGAGTCACCCAGGTTTTGGGGAGAAACCCCCACCCCATAGTCAGCCTGCCGTCACACAAGCCAAGACAGCCACTGGGGTTGCAGCCACCTTGTGTCCCTTTGGGGACCTTGGGGGGAAAGAAGGCATGATGCCCAGCAGCGGGCAGCAGCAGAGAGATCCCTTGAAGTTCAGACCCCCCTGGGAAATCCCAGGTCATGCACTGGGTGACCTGGCTTGGTTACCTAACCTCTCTGAACCTCAGTCTCCTCTTCCGTAAAATAGAAACCAGGCCCCCATCACCAGTCTGTGACGATAACACCCATAAGGCCCCTGGCATTTGGTGGGTGACAAGAAATGTCTGTCTTTGTTTTGAAGCTGAAACGCTGCAGGGTTGGGGGAGAGCTGGGCTGAGGGAGTGGAAGAAGGAGGTCCAATGAGACCCGGGTGGGCCCAGCCAAGAGCGCGCCCTCCTCTCTCTGCAGATCGCAGTGACCTTCGCCATCGTCCTTGGAGTCATCATCTACAGAATCTCCACAGCCGCCGCCTTAGCCATGAACTCCTCCCCGTCGGTGAGGTCCAACATCCGGGTCACAGTCACGGCCACCGCGGTCATCATCAACCTGGTGGTCATCATCCTCCTGGATGAGGTCTACGGCTGCATAGCCAGGTGGCTCACTAAGATTGGTGAGTGCCTGCGTTCTGGGGCCACGGTGCCCCGGGCAGCATCACCTGTGGCCCCGGGCCGAGCCCTGGAGCCAGGCAGCCCTGAGTCGCCTCCCTCCTGCTGTGGGACCTTGGGCTGGTCACTTATCTTCTCTGAGCCTCAGTGAAGTGGTCAGCCTGGACCATGACGGCCGCTCAGCAGCATGCATCTCCCTCCTTCTAGAGGTTCCGAAGACAGAGAAGAGCTTCGAGGAGAGGCTGATCTTCAAGGCTTTCCTGCTGAAGTTCGTGAATTCCTACACCCCCATCTTTTACGTGGCTTTCTTCAAAGGCCGGTAGGGACTTCCTCGGTTACTGGGACTCACGCCTTTCCCCAACTCGCTCCTCCTGGTCCAGTGGGAGGCTCCCCTCCCCGGCTCCCTGTGGGTAGGAGGCACGGGGCCCAGGAAAGCAGTCGGCGTGCCTCCCCTGCCGCCGGGTTCCAGGAGAGGCCTGGCTTCTGCTGGGATGCTAGGCGTGGGCATCCTGGACGGCAGAGACCCTGGGCCTTGGGGACCCCAGGCAAAGGGGACCCCAGACAGTGGGAACCCTGAATATCTGGGACCCCGGCCGCAGGGACCCCCAGTAGTGGGGACCCTGAGCAGCAGGAACCCTGGGCAGCAAGAATCCCGGGCAGCAAGAACCCCAAGCATTGGGGACCCCAGACAGTGGAGACCCCAGGCAGTGAGGACCCTGAGCAGCAGGAACCCTGGGCAGCAAGAACCCCAAGCATTGGGGACCCCAGACAGTGGAGACTCCGGGCAGTGGGGACCCTGAGCAGCAGGAACCCTGGGCAGCAAGAACCCCAAGCATTAGGGACCCCAGACAGTGGAGACTCTGAGCAGCAGGGACCCTGGACAGCAGGGACTCTAGAACAGGGACCCCGGGCAGCAGGACCCCAGGCGCTGAGCTGGAGATGCTCCCACAGTGGGCCGGGATGACTCAGGAGGGCAAGGACCACAGGAGAAGGTGTAAGAAGTGCAGCCACTGGCCAGCTGGGTGTTCCAGGCTGGTGGCAGGGTGACACCCGTGCCTGGACCCTCTGGAGCTGTCCTGGGCCTGGAGGGGCCTGTAGCCCACTCAGCAAGACTCCCACCCCACCTCCAGCCAGGGGCTGGCGGGTCTGATCCCAGAACCCCTCCAAAGGCTCCTTCCTCAGCACCACATGGTTTACAAGTGCCACGGCCACCCTCCCGCCCGGGGGTCCCAGAGCCAGGCCACAGTGTCCAGGCCCCACCGAGAGCATCCACGACAAGGGAGCAGGCTCTCACAGGGCCCCCGACCCCGCCCACCCCACAGGAAGCTGAGAGACTGCCTTGGAGGCCACCCCGTCCCCTCCTGTCCGAGGTCCCCTGTCGTGTCCCGGCCGTGGCAGGTGGCGTGGTCTGCACCAGGCAGCTTTGCCTTAGCCCCCTCCTGGCCCCCTTCCCTCCGTCTGCCCCTCAGCCTCAGGGGTTGCTGTTGAAGTTCCCTTTTCTGACCCCTCTGTGGGGCTGGGAATCACGTGAATATCCACTGTGGTAGATGTTTAGCCGATGAGGGGCAGGGAGAAACCTGGGAGTGCACTCAAGGCTCCGACTTGGGGACCACACCGCCTCGGGGTCTCCCAGGCCGGTCCCTCCTCTCTAACTCCCCCATCATTGCAGGTTTGTGGGCCGCCCGGGCGACTACGTGTACATTTTCCGTTCTTTCCGGATGGAGGAGGTAACTGAGATTGTCTGTTTCCCGGGGCCCCTTCTCTTCTGCTCCCCGATTTTCTCCAACTTGGGAGAAGCAGACGGTGCATGTTCCTGGTGGAGTAGCCACAGTCTCCTCCCTCCTTGGGGGAATCCTCCTCTGTTCTCGTTTTCTGTCCTCGGGCCAGTGGGAGGGGCTTTGATCCCATCTGGTGCGTCCATATAGGATTACCCTAAAAGGAGAAAGTCTCTTCAGAGTCAGCGAAACAAAACAATTCCACCAACTTTTTTTTCTTTTTCTATAAGACCTTGAATGTTTTTCTCTGTGGTTAGGATGAATGAGTGAGGCAAAGAGCAGAACTCAGCTACATTTTTTTACTTGAACATTGAAATGCCCACCTCTCTCCGTCCAAACACAATGCTGGTGACCTTTGGCTTCTGCTCAGGGGTTCCAGCCACCGTGGGTCTGGTTAGTGCGCCAGCCGCCTTCTGCCACAGGGTGCTGGCCCCAGACTTGCTCCACCGGCTCCATCAGACCAAGCCGGGGCTTCAGGGCCTGTCTGTCAGTGGTTCAGGTCTCGGTGGAACCAGCTGGCATTTCCAACTCCCAGAATAATTCAGCTTATCGGAAAATAAGGTGGTGGGTCTTCCTGGTAAAGACCCTGTGAAACAGAGTAGGGAAGATTCGTGTGAGCATCAGGTGCGGGGTGATCTGGGTGCCTGGGGCACAACCTCGAGGTTCAACCACCTGAGTGTCAGCCCCCAAACCTGCCACGACGTGGGCCTCATCCACAGTACCGGATGTTTGCAAAAAGCCCGTAAAGTGCTCCCACATTACATGACGCGTCCTTTACCTAGATGATATCCTGTCGAACTCTGTAGTGGTTGGAGAAGTTGGGGAAATGCCTTTGTAGAAGACAGTAAAGCAAAGGACATCACTATTTTTTATGAAGTGATGACTCTCCAACATACATTTTTTGGTAACGGTATAAACAGTTTTGCTTGGGACTCGTCGAGGGGTCAGCTGTGCCCCAGGGGGTCACCCCATGTCCCTTGAGTTCTCTTCGCTCGGATGAGTTAGCTTCTCACCCATCACCTGCCTGCCTGGCCCCCGGCCTGACGCAGCACGAGCCCACTAAGGACGGGGGCACAGGCCTCGGAGGGGTGGCCGGCTGCCCCACCGTGTGGCTTCCCACCTGCACAGGCCCCAGCCTGCCAGGCCCCGGGGGACGAAGAGGAGCCCTGAGATCCGGTCCCACCACTGCCCACTCCCTGGCAACGTGCTCCCCTCTCCGAGCCTGTAGGCCGGGTGTATTAGCTTCCTGGGGCGGCCGTAACAGAATACCACAGACTGGGGGGCTTAAAACAGTAGAAATTTGTTATCTCACGGTTCTGGAGGCCAGAAGTCCAAAATCAAGGTGTCAGCAGGGCTGCGCTGCCCCCAAAGGTTCTAGGGGGTTCTCTCAGGCCTCTCCCCCAGCTTCTGGTGGCTGCTCGTAGACGCGTCCCGGCAGTCTCTGCCGCCGTCTTCACATGACCTTCTCCCGTCTGTGTGCTTGTGTATTTTCTCTTCTTATAAGGACACCAGTCACTGGATCAGGGCCCACCCCACTCCACTGTGACCTCATCTCAACTTGGTCACGTCTGCAAAGACCCTATTTCCAAATAAGGTCACCTTCTGAGGTTCCAGGGGTCAGGACGTGGAGGCCGCAGTTCAACCCACAGCCCTCACTGGGGGCTCCCAGTGTCCTCGAGGGGCGGGGGCGGAGTCTGATGCCCCTGCTCTCTGTCCCGCAGTGCGCCCCGGGGGGCTGCCTCATGGAGCTGTGCATCCAGCTCAGCATCATCATGCTGGGCAAGCAGCTCATCCAGAACAACCTGTTTGAGATCGGCATCCCGTGAGTAGCCTCCAGCCTCGGGTCCGAGTGGAGGGGACTGGGGCCTTGGGCGGATGGGGGCTCTTAACGGGGGTCTGGGTGACAAGTGATGCAGGCTGGACCAGGATGGGGGCGCCAGGAACAGGGAGGTGGTGAGGACGGAGGGGAAGACGGGGCAGTAGCCACCCCACAGTGGACGAGGAGAGGGTGGAGGTCGAGATGACTCCCGGCTCCCCAGCGGGCTGAGGATGCGGGGTACCAATGGGTGCCCCCAAACCCACGTGCTGGCTCCCCGTGGTCGGCTCTGCTTCCTTACCCTGTGCCCTTTGAGGATCACGTCCCCTTCCCTCCGCAAGGCAGCCGGCCCTCCGGAGTCGGGGACGTTGTAGACTATTTCCCATGATCCACGCCCCGCCCCCCGAGTCTGCTTGGGCACGGCCAGACCCCTGACACCGCGGGGTCCTCCCTGGGATTTTAGGCGGCCGTTTGCTCTCCCTGCGCCTCCGTGTCCTTATGTCACCAACATTAGGGTGACACTTGCCTCCCACCCATGGGGGAAAGCACAAAGGGCATCACCGATGGAGACGTCATCGCAAACAAGTTAGTTCGGGATTTGAGACACGCGACGGCCCAGAGAATCAGAAATGCAGCTTGGAGGTGCCGGGCCCCAGCCCCCAAACCCTGCTTCCTGGACCCCTGGCTGAGGGGTGTCATGTTTCTTTCAGGAAAATGAAGAAGTTCATCCGCTACCTACGGCTCAAGCACCAGAGCCCCGCGGACCACGACGAGTACGTGAAGAGGAAGCAGCGATACGAGGTGGACTACACCCTGGAGCCCTTCGCGGGCCTCACCCCCGAGTACATGGAGATGAGTGAGTGGCCGCAGCGGGAAGGAACCCGGTCCCCAGGGACGGGAGGGCTGCAGCCGGGGCAGCAGGGTGGAAGCAGGCCGGCTTGCCGCCTGTGGGCTGGCTGTGGCCCCTTGCACAGAGCAGGCTCTCGGTAGACACCTGGGGATTGAGGCTTGTCACCTGCAATCGTGTCCCTGGACAGGAGGATGCCCAGAGGTGGCACATAACTCTCAGGGGTGGGGCGAGGGAAAGACGGGAAAAGGCCAGGTTTGGCCTCCACGGCAGCCACCCCGCCTCCTACCTCTCCCTTCCTCCCTCTGCTCTGGCCACACGGGCCTCCTCGCTGTTACCCAAATGCACAGAGCTCAAGCCTGCCACACGGCCTTTGCACAGGCTATGCCCCACCTGGAATGCTCTCCCCTATTACTTGCATGACTCACTCTCTCCCTTCCTCCAGGGCTCTGCTCTCAATGTCCCCACTCAGGGAGACCAGAGGGATCTCCCTGACTGCAGTGTTTGAAAGGGACGGCCCCTCCCCTGCACAGCTGTGACCCTCTGCCCCTCCTCAGCTTTATGTTTCCCATCACCAGCTGACACCTTGAGTCCTCATCATCCCTTTTCCATCTGCCTCTCCCGGTAGAATTGAAGCTCTGTGAGAGCAGGACCTTCCGTTTTTTGTTTTTTGGGGTTTTTTTGCTCTTCACTGCCATACCCCTGTACCTAGAACAGGTCCAGGTATACAGTGGGTGCTCAATACATGTTCACTGCATGAATGCATGAGTGAAGGAGGTCAGGAAGATTCATGGAGAAGGGTCTCAGAGCAGAGCGCCCTCTGGCCACCATGGACAGCTATTTAAAATACAGGTTCCCGGGCCCCCATGCCTGGTCTGTGCGGGGTGCGACCCAGGACTCTGCGTTTTTAACACATCCCTGGGCTGCCCTGAGGTGGGAGGTGGGGAAGGGCAGCGTGACCCGGGGCTGCTGCGAGCATTTCTGTCTAATTGCCCCGCGAGCGCTTCCCTGTACTCCTGTGGCCGAGTCAGTCAAAATAAGAGGCTCCCAGCTTCCCAGACGGTTGTGCAAGGAACTCGACTGACTCACAAGGAAAAGAATCTTGAGACTTTAAAAAAAAGGAAACAGTGTGTGTTCGGATGGCAGTCTCTATTTTCTCCTGGAATAAAATCCAAGCTGAACCAGGATGGGCAGACAGCTCCCCAGACCCCGTGAACCCCCGTGGGCCTGCTCCCTCCCCGGCTGTTTACACTCAGAGCGGAGTCCGGAGGAGGGCCTCCCCTGCCTGCCGCCCGACCCCACCATGGGAGGATGGACGCCGGGCAAAGCAGCCTGGGATTGGCTGAGAGACTGGCGGTCACTTCCCCAGACTTGAATTTCGTGGCTGGAGGCCGAGTCCCGGGTCCCTCTTGGCTTCGATGAAAATAGATTCCTGGTGCAGGCTCCTGCTGCCCACCCAGGGAGCGTCCCACCCGTGCCCGACGCCGCACGCCACCGTCCAGGACGCACTTCTGCGCCCCGCTGCCTTTCGATCCGCCACACCCGCGGCCCGTCTTCCCCTCGAGGACGAAGACTCCGGCTGGGCACCTGGAGCGCACAGGAGCCGGGAGACTGGAAGAAAAGGCCCAGCTGCCCTTCCCTCCTCAGCCTGTCCAGGCAAGAGGGGGCGGCATCTCTCGGGAGTGGGGGACCCACGGCCTCGGGCCTCAGCAGCCCCTGAGCCCCTGCACGCGGAGCCCACACGCCGAGCTCATCCGATGGCCTCCATCACCTCCAGAGCCTCAGAGGTGACCAGCGTCCACAGAAGCGTCCTATGGAAGCCCCGGTGGGGCGAGCGGGGCCAGCAACACAGTTCCCGGACGAGGGCTGGCACCGAGCCCCCACCCGCCACACTAACAATGGCCACACTCAGCCCGCCAGACACGGGGTGACATTCTGCCGGCTTCCTTGTTTACCGCCTGGCACCGAGCGCCCTTGGACGGGCTCCCGCTGTATACAGTTCCTGAAGCAGCCTCCCCAACTCGGTTCCTTTCAGCGACCTTTCCCTGACCACCCCCCCCCCCACCCCAGGATGCAACAGTGCTAAGGTTGAGAAACCCTGCTCCAAACCTATCAATCACTCTTAACCTGTAAGATAGTTCTGACCACCCCCCCCCCACCCCAGGAGCTGCCTGGAGCCAGCTACAGCGTCTGAGGCCGAAGAAGCCACAGAGCCGGGCTGTTGATGAGGATTGTGAGCCAGAGCGAGGGGCGTGAGGCAGAGGGGCGAGGTTGTCTGCGACAGTGGGTCCCCGCCCGGTTCCCCGAGGCCTGACGGAAGGGGACGCTGGGGGCTCGTCACAGGCCCCCGGGTCCCAGGAACCTCTGGCTAACGGCAGCACTAGGGCCCTTCCCAGCCCAGACACAGGAGGGCTGAGGCTGGGCGCCCTGCTCACGGGGCCTTTCTTCCCATGATTGATGATTTTTTAAGATTAGACGTATGATAAGTGCATCCATGCCCATTATTCAAGAGTCAACACTGAGCTCCAGAGCAAAATTTAGAATCCTGCACCGCCCCCCCCCGCCCTCTCCTAGCTGGGGGTCACCCGAGGTCACCGGGGTGACCCAGGGTCGCAGTGGGTGTGCCCCAAGAGCCTTGCGTATGCATATGCAGGTGAGCACGTTGGAGGCAGGGCGCCTGCCAGACCCAGGGTGGCTCAACTTGCGGGTGGGTGGGCCAGGGTGGGGGTCCCGCTGTCGTGGGACAAGGGATGTGGCCCGTGCTGACCACGGCCACCGTTCTCTTCGCAGTCATCCAGTTTGGCTTTGTCACCCTGTTTGTCGCCTCCTTTCCCCTGGCCCCGCTGTTCGCGCTGCTGAATAACATCATCGAGATTCGCCTGGACGCCAAAAAGTTCGTCACCGAGCTCCGCAGGCCAGTGGCCGTCAGAGCCAAAGACATCGGTGAGTGACCCGCGGGGGCGGGTCCGAGTGCGCGCTGGGTGTCGGGGAGGGCTCCTGCTCCCCAGAAGCCAGAGGCAGAGCCGGCAAAGTGGGGTCCGGTGCGGCGTCCCCACGGGCTCGTTGCTGCACCTCTCCTGGGTGAGACTCAGGCTCGGGTGGGGGTGATGCGAGACCTCGGGGCTCAGTTACCCCCCACCGCGACCCATAACTCCTGAGATGTATCGGCCGCAGAGAACATTTGGGACAGAGGCAGCGTCTCGGGCATCTGAGGATCTCGGCCGTCGGCTGCTCTAGGAGGTCTGGGAGGTCATTTCCTCTTGGACGGTCCTCGAAACCCGCTTCCCGCCCTGGACGTTCGTGTGGCCCCTGAGCACAGAGCTGGACCAAGGGGGAGGCTATATCAGCTGCTTAGCAAGTGCCTTCCTGCAAGGTGTGTCATTGAATCGTGTAACCTTCACAGGAAGGAAGGAAGGAAGGAGGGAGCCCCTTCCACCGATGAAGGACGAGCATTGCCGTAGGGGTCAGGGCCGAGAGCAGCCGGGCTTCTTCACCCCGTGTCACTAGGGCTTCCTCATCCATGTGGAGGAGGGGCTGGGGGATGGTACGCTTAGTGTCAGCGTAAGGATTAACTTTCTAGGGGCCGCTGCAGTGGTTAAGTGGTGGGCTCTGCTTCAGCGGCCCGGGGTTTGCGGGTTCGGATCCCGGGCGTGCACTGACGCACCACTTGTCAGGCCATGCTGTGGTGGCGTCCCATATAAAGTGGAGGAAGATAGGCATGGATGTTAGCCCAGGGCCAGTCTTCCTCAGCAAAAAAGAGGAGGATTGGCATCGGATGTTAGCTCAGGGCTGATCTTCCTCACAAAAAAAAAAAAAAAGGATTAACTTTCTAATAGCCATCGGTGTCAAAAATGGAGGAGACTTCTTTGTGGGGTGGTGAGCTCCTTGTCGCCAGGGGCATTTAAGCAGATGTGGGTGACCGTCTGTCTGGGAGTGGTAAGAGATGTGGGGAGACCACGCGGGCAGGGCTCAGAGCCCCACACACGCCTCGACCAGATCCGGCCCTCACTGGCAAGTACGATGCCCATCTTATCTTAAAGGGCATCAGCTCAAACTGGGACCCAGTTTTCAGAGTGAAAACAGAAAAGTCTTTATTGGGACTTCATCTTGAAATGAGATGGAAGATTACGAAAATATATTCATCTCCTATTGAACACAGTTTTAGTTAGAACACAGAGGTGGTAGTTCTTGGAATAAACAAAGGCTGAATCACATGTTAGGGATGTAATTTGCCGTTGTACAAAATAAAGATGGCACACCAGGGTGACGGGACATCCTCAGGTCGGGCTCTTGTCGCCCAAACATAATGTTGCAAAAACGTAGGGGCCTCATCAGGGCTTCCGGTTCACTGCAGCCCCGCATGTGTGCCGGGGGATCAATGGTGACAGTGGGCTTGCTGATGCGCCAGGTCAGAGTTCAGCACACGGTTTCCGTGAGGGGCTGAGTGTAAACGTTTAGTCTTCGGCCATGTCCTCGAGTCTTAGAGCAGCCGTTCTTGCCGAAAGGCTGTTTCTCACACTTTTTTCATGTCACGCTTAAAAATGTAAAAAGCCGTCCTTAGCTCTGGGCTGTCCACACGCAGGCCAGGCCGTGGGCTGGCTTGGGGCCACAGGCGGTATTTGCAGATCCCCCTCGAGATAAAGGTGAGGCTCCCCCCGGGGTTCGTGAAGGCAGAGCAGGCCGCGCTCTGAGGACGACCGGAGAGCTGGGTCCGCACTGGACTTTTCCTGGGACTTTCAGCCGTCGGGTCCTCCCAGGAGCCTCCTGAGGATGCTCTGGCACATCCTCGGTCCCACTTTCCAGATGGGGAGACTGAGGCCCGCTGGTTAACAGAGCTGAGCTGGAACTGGAGACCTCAGGCCCTCGGCCCCTCGAGGTGCGGGCCACGCGCTCCCCGCGCCCCTCCAGGAGGAGAGGGTTTGCATGGCAAAGCTCACACTGCACGCCAGGGCCTCGCCAGGGCAGCCGGGGCGGCTTGCCAGGCGCTCCTGGGACACCCTTGGGAATTCTGGGGCCCTGTGCCCAGGGCAGGAAAGACAAGAGCGTGAGCTCCCCATGGCCCGTTCCTGACAAAGGCCCCATTCTCAGGCGTCTGGAGGCCCCAGGCGAGTCCTCCGCGGGTGTGTGTTTGTTTTGGCATCCTCTGCTTGGCAAAGCCTGGTCATAGGATGTCCCCACGGCGGCATCCTGAAACCTGCAAACCCACCCGGGGGAAGCGGAGCGCCACGGCCACCTCCCGGCCCTTGTCTTTCCCACCACAAGCAACGCTGGGACCCATATCTCCCAGCGTTTTGCTCACGGCTCCTCGTTTTTTCCCAGTTCTTACGGATCAGCTGCTGGCTTCCTGGTTCCTGCCTGGTTGGCTGAAGGCGTAATCTTTCCTCCTTTTGCCGGTTTGTTTATGGGCTCCCTCACTGTAACCTTTCCCTAAAGAGGCTTTTGTATTCCTCCTGTGATCCGTGCACGGCCTGAGGGGGCAGAGGGCCCCAGTGGCCCCCATGACCTGTACCCACGGCGCCGGGGCTGGCTGGGGAAGCTCTGCCACAAGGTGCAGGCACCTCAGTCGCCCTGCCTGGCCGCGGAGAGGGAGGCGTGGCGAGTCGCTGTGGGGATCCAGGCCCCTGCGTTCGGAACCAGAAGCGGTTCCAGCCTCCCAGCCCTGAGCATTGACGCCAGAGTAACCTGCTCCCTGCCCCCAAGCTCAGAGCCTCCGGGTGAGAAGCCTCTGCCTGGTTCAGCTCCTGGGCCTGTGTGTGGGCAGGCATGACTAAATGCCTCCCTATCATGTTCTTGGAAACGGGGCTCAGTGTCCCCTGGAACGGTGGAGGTGCCTTAAAGAAGGCAGCTCCCCACTGTGAGATTTTCATAAAGGAAGCCCGGAGATTTTTCCCAAAGAACACCAGCCCCTTGCGCTGAGACATCACCAGAGCGGTGATTGTCACTGCAGCCGGCGCCCAGATCACTCAGAGAGAGGGTCAAGGCTCCGAGAGAGGCGGATCCCATGGGCAGGATCCCGAGTCCTGGTTTTGCATTTTGTGAACACATCCCCGTGGTTCCATTTGGGGCTCACAGCGGACCATCCGCCCGCCCGGACATAAAGACATCGCAGAACCTGTTAGACAGGCTCGGTTCCCGGCTTTGAGGCTGTCATCGGCCCATCCCATCCCAGCCCAGCCTTGTCACTCCCGTTCCTGTTGGGCCCTCTCGGCCCATTGGGCTGGTCACCTGGGCCGACCGAGACTGTTTCCTCTTGCTGAGCTCAGATCCCGCCTCCCGAGGGAGCCTTCTGCCTGGAGACTTCAACTTGCCAGGGCTCACTCGCACCCCAGCACCCCAAATCAGAGATCTCAAACTCAGAGTCCCCAGGGCCAGGCGGGCTGTCTGAACCAGTGAACGACAGGCACGAGGAATGCTCTCACGGCCGCAGAGCAATGTGCTCGTTCTCGTTTTCCTGGAATTTTCTGTCTCCCCACTCTAGTACGGATCTGGGTTTGATAAATGTTTCTCTAAGCGGGTGAAGGGAGTTCCCTCGGTGCAGAGAGCAGAGCTGCCTGCACGGCCCGGCAGAAGGGGTCACCACCGTCAGCCACCGCCAGCCATCGTCATGGAGACATGCCAGCCCGCTGTCGACCGGAGCTGAGGCTCGCTCAGAAGCGGCAAGTCAAGATTTTTAAAAATGCATCATCCTGATTTGTAAACATCAATCAAGACTTTTTAAGTAGCAGGCAAACCTCACGAAACACCAGTGCGTCTGGATATGGCCCGCAGGCCACCATTTTGCAACCTCTGCCCTGGTGCGAAGAGTCTGGTTGGAAAGGCTTTCTACGCTCATGCAGTCACTCAGCAAACATTTACCCAGCAGTGCCAAGCGTTGTGTGCCAGACACGGGGCTAGGCCCAGCAGAGATGCAAGGACATGCAGTTCACAGCCTCCCCCGGGAGCTTGGAGTCTACAGAAGGGCTCCCAGCCCCCGCAACACCAGGTGTGAGCAGCTGGGCAGAAAGTGCATGAACGCCGACTGTCAGATGCGTTACCCCCACTCGTGCTGTCTCCCACTCACTTGCACCCCCATATGCTTTCTTCATTCAGGGGAGGCGGATAGGTTGGGGTGGACCTAGTACCCCCAGGGCGTGCAGGGCCCACGTGACTGCCCCGGCCACGGCTTCCAGCAGGAAAGTTAATTGCTCCAGTGGGGAAGACCAGACAGAACCACGATAACTTCCCATCTCGGCTTAGGTCGTGGCCCGCCCGGCAGCGGGAGGCAGGGAGGCGGGGAGGCCATCCTTACTTACCACCCGGCCCAGCAGAAAGGTGCCCTGTGCTGGCTGTCCCGGAATGGTCACTGGCAGGGGCTCAGGAGCGACAGATCTGGACACGTCCCCCGTTGACTTCGGGGCTGCGTCGGAGCCTGCGGTTTCCAGCTCCTGGGTCACACGGGCCTGAACTCCCATTGTCTTTGCAGTTCACCAGCGTGCACCCCAAAAGGGGCCTAGGAGCGCCCCATGGCGCCCGCTGCTAGGGGAGACCCCCCCGTGTGTGGCTGTCCCTGGTCTTGCGGGGTCTCTGCCCTGGGTAGAAAAACCCAGCTGCCACATGCGTCCCTAACGACAGTAGTGTCCGGCCCTCGTCCTCTCCCGCCCTTTCTGAGACGTGCTGTTGTCGCCCATCTGGGATCTGGTGCAGGGAGGGGGAGAGAGCGCCCGGACAGAGTCCCCCCAACTCCACACGTGATGTGTGTCTGCCCCCATAGGCGAGGTTAGGGTGGGGGTGAGGGCCGGGCAGGGGGCGCCGGGCCCCTTTCCAGGGGTCGCAGCATCGAGGCCCTAACAAGGAGGGCCCACTCTGGACCCCCACACCCCCCACATAAGGCGCGTCCTTCACGGGCTCTGCCAGTCTTCATCTCTGCTGGGGGGCCAGTGGGGGAACGCGCATTTCTCGGGGTGCGGAGTGGCGGTCCTCGTGTGATGGGGGGCAAGCTGCGCCTCGGGCTGACAGAAACAAGGAGACGGCCAGACGGGACCCGGTGTGCGCCGCACTGCTGTCAGGTCATTACACCCAGGTCGTGACCCGGCCTCACCAGAGGCCCTGGATTTGCTGTGACCCGGCCCCACCTCTGGCCTGTCCCTACAGAGTTATCCTGGCGCCAGAGCTCCGGGCGAGTGCCAGGACGCCAAACCTTGGGGGTTCGGTCTCCAGTGACCGCCACGTGGGCTCTTAAACCGAATCTTTGTCTCTCTAGAAAGGCTTCGTCTCAGCCAATTAGTAAAATAAACAAGTTCGTGGGAGATGGTTCAGAGGCACTTAGGGAGCAGCTGTTTTTAAGCACCTCTTAGAAGCTGCGATTTGCTTACAAACAGCTGACGAGCCGGCACAAGCCCCGGGCTCTGTCGTCAGCCAGGCTCCCCCAGCTCTGACTGCACCCCAGACAGGACCAAACCAGCCCCCGCCAGCCTGCTGGGGGAGTCACTGAGAGCCAGGTGCAGGGGGGCTCCAAACTATGCTTCTCTCCTCCCCCAGGAATCTGGTACAACATCCTCAGAGGCGTCGGGAAGCTGGCCGTCATTATCAACGTAAGTGACGTCGGGTGGATGCCCTGGCTGAGCTGTCCGGGGCGGCGCCCCTTCCTGGGGAGCTGGGTGGGGTCTCGGCCCCCAGCCTCGTGCGGCCCCACGCTGGCGGAGCGCCTCCTCTTTAGAAGAGCCCCACGGAGGTATCGAGGGGGTGGGGCGAGCTCGAGGTGGGAATGACAAATTCCCCTCCACCTTTTTCTGCAAGCTTGAGCAAAATTCTCCACCATGCCCACCTTGACCCCTAAGTCCCCTCTGTCCCCAGAGTCCTGAGAATGTGTGAGAGAGAGAAAGAGACAGAGACAGGGAGGGAGTGAGACCGAGACAGAGAGAGAGATTCCTCGTTGGCAATCGTTCTGCTCTGTTTTAAATAGTTTTTCCCTTTTATCTAAAATGCATGCCTGCTCTTTAAAGATTGGGGACATGCTGAAACATGGAGAGAAGGGGAGAAACCTCACACACACATGAACACGCACACGCGTTGCGTGCTGAGCACAGTGCTCTCCTGTGGCCGTCCTCTCCAGCGTCTCGAGTCCTGTCCTGACACACGGTGCCACCCCTCCCGGCCTCTCCTACCACCGGGCCTGCAGGCTGGGAGCGTCACGGCCCCTCGGTCACAGCAGACCAGCCCTCAGTCTCCCTGGTGGCCTCCGGTCCAGGGCCACCTGAGTCTGCCAGGGCCTGCATCCCCCAGCTCTCTCTGCTGGTCCCCGACACGTCTTCAGAGCCCAAGGCTGCGTCCCGGGCTTGTGAACCCCAGGAGCCTCGGAGCGTCCGCAATGCCACTGCCCTGTGACCCTCTCCCCTCCACCCGCTGGCCGAGCCGGAGCCCCCAGAAGCTGGCCCCTCGCACGTGGGGTGACGGGAGCTGGGCAGGTGGCTCCTCCAGAGCAGACCGTCAGTCATGGGGCCTGCACGGCCGGGATGCTGAGTCAGGGTCACAGCGAGGCCCTGGGACTCGGTCCCCACAGCACAGGAAGTGATGCTCAGCCAGGAGAAGGGACCTCTGAGCCCTCGGACCCAGCTTTCCCTGCTGGCGGCAGACCTGCCGGCTGCCCACTGCCCTGGGCTGAGGCTCTGAAACCCTTGTCAAAGGGAGGCCGTGGGCAGAGCATGCGCACGGGACAGCAACGGCTCCTTGCCCCAACCCGGGTGCGCACGCAGAGCTCTGAGGCAGGAGGGTGTGTTTTGATTGAGGAAGAAGGGTGCTGGAAACACAGGGTGCAGCCCTTCTGGAGCACAGGGTGCTGTGAGGAGCTGGGAATCAACCCGACGTCTCGTGGGAATGACCAACAGCAACAATAATAATAACGGCAGCTGACATTTATAGAGCATCTAGAATGTTCCAGGCCCTTCTGAGCTCTTTGCATGCACCCACCCACTAGTGCACACATAGCCCTCAAAGGCAGAGTTGTTACATGTGAGACAACCGAGGCACAGAGAGGTCAGGCAACTTGCCTGCGATCACACAGCCAGAAAGAGGCAGAGCTGGACTTCACCCCAGGCCGTCGGGCTCCTGGTCCCTGCTCTGATACTGGCATCACACCACCCTGCCCCCACGGACGGCTCTGGAATAGACCAGCAGAGCTGGGTCAGAACTTAACAGTCTGTGAGGCACGTGAAGTGGGCCTTGTTATCCCTGTTCCACAAAAGGAAAGTGGAGGCACAGAGAGGTTAGGTGACTTGCCCAAGGCCACACAGCCAGTGAGAAGCAGCCAGCATTCGTCCCCATGCCTTCCCGTCAGGGGCATCCTGCTCCCAGCCCCCAGGCCCTCTCCTCCGGCTGCCAGAGGGGCTGTCATAAGTGCCCCCAACCCTTCGTTTGTTCAGTCGACATGCTGAGGCCATGTGGTCATGTTTGCCAGTTTGTGGGCACAGTGTCACATGGCCAGGCCCAGTGGCTCATTTGGGGCATGTCCCCCTCCCCTGCCCGGCTGGGGGTCCACGCTCACCCCGTGTTCCCTGTCCCAGGCCTTCGTGATCTCCTTCACGTCTGACTTCATCCCTCGCCTGGTGTACCTCTACATGTACAGCGAGAACGGGACCATGCACGGCTTCGTCAACCACACCCTCTCCTCCTTCAACGTCAGCGACTTCCAGAACGGCACGGCCCCCAACGACCCCCTGGAGCTGGGCTACGAGGTGCAGATCTGCAGGTACCGCTCTCAGCTCCTCTCTTTGAAGAGCCACATCTGGTGGGTTTCTGGGAAAACTCCGGGTCAAGCCAGGATTCTTTCAGGGCCAAGACAGAACAGCTCAGTCTCGCTTCCAGGAAAGAAAAGACTCCTGGGGGCCGGCCCTGTGGCGCAAGTGGTTAAGTGCGCGTGCTCCGCTGCAGTGGCCCAGGGTTCGCCGGTTCGGATCCTGGGCGTGCACCGACTCGCTGCTTGGCAAGCCATGCTGTGGCGGCGTCCCATATAAAGTGGAGGAAGATGGGCACGGATGTTAGCCCAGGGCCAGTCTTCCTCAGCAAAAAAAAGAGGAGGATTGGCAGATGTTAGCACAGGGCTGATCTTCCTCACAAAAAAAAAAAAGAAAGAAAGACTCCTGGGGTGGGAGTAGGAGGTGATTTATTAGTTCCTTTAACTAAGAAGTCCATGATAGCTTCAGGCACAGCTGGATCCAGGAGCTACAGTTTGCCATCCGGCCCCACTCTGGCACTGCCTCCCAACTTTGCACTCCTCCCCGTTGGCATTGTTTGCTGGCAGGCAGAAAGGATCCCTCAGTAGCTGCTCTTGACGTCCTCTCTGCTCAGCAGTCCCAGTGGGAAGAATTTCTGTTTCCCAATAATCAGCAAAAGTCCCAGGATTGAGTCTCACTGGCCTGCGTTGGGCCACAGGGCCATCCCTGAACCAGTCGCTGTTGCCAAGGGTGGGGGGCCTCAGCCTGAGTCGCGTGCCACGGTGTGGGGTCATGGTCAGAGAATTGAGGGGGTCCCAAGGAAAACTGGGGTGCTGTGACTCGAAGAAGGGGTGATGGATGCTGGGCAGGCAGAAGCCACAGATCTCTGAGATGGTCAAAGCTGTGGGGTCCCATCAGCTGGCCAGACACTCAGGGCCTGCAGGGAGCCCCCAGGAAAGACGGAGGCGAGGACAGGACAGGGGAGCGAGGCAGAGCCAGGCCTGGCCATTCGCTGGGCGTCTTCCACATGCCAGCCGGAGTTGGGGGCTGGGGACTTGGGAGTGGGTGGTCTGGTCCCTGCATCCAGGGTCCTCGATGCAGGGGGACGACAGAAGCCTAAACAGGTCATTTTAAAGGGGTGACAGTAGCCGGAAGCCCAGGTGAAGGGTGGAGGCAGTGGGGGGCGTTCCAGGGGGAGGGGCGTCGGGGGCAGAAGCAGAGAGGCGAGACTCGGGGTGTCTGTGGGTGGTACCCGCAGCCCCTTCCATCTTCCTGGGGCATGAAGGGTAGAGGCAGGTGTGGTGGCGATGACACTGGAGGGGCTGGCAGGGGCGTGGCATCCAGGCTCAGGACACGGAGGACCATTGTATGACTGACCACTGGCTTTGAAAGGAGGCTGACCGCCGAGAAGCAGCGTCGAGAGACGGTGTGATGGCAGCCTGCTGAGCGCCCGTGACAGTCTGAACTGTGCCCAGCCCGGCTGAGACTCAGAACACGGTGGGCCCCGCATGACGGAAGAACAGTTACGCGCTGCCCTGCGTGTTCCGGGTCGGGGGGCAACACCTCCTCGGGGACTTGGTGGAGCCAGGTCTGCCATGGGGACGGCAAGTGACGCAGCCAGACTCGGAACACGACGCGGTTTCCAGAATCCCACCCGCCCACACGGTCCTGTGCGCACATATGTGGGCGTGTACATCCCGGGAAAGGCCGGAATGATCTGCCTGAGCCCTCCGCGTGGTCACCTCGGGGAGGACACGGAGCTGGACGTCCAGGGCGGGGCTGAGAGTCCTTCCTCCCGCGCCCTCCCGCGGGCTCGTGCGGCGGCGCTGGGCGGGCAGGCCACCCCCGAGCCTCGGGTCCGGGCTCCCCGCTGGTCGGGCAACACCAACACCGTCTTCGCGTTGTTCGGACAGTCCACACCAGGAACACACTCCAGCTTGACTTATTTAACTAAAAGTGGATTTTAGAGGAAGAATGATTAAGAAAAAGGAGGCAGGGAGGTTACACGGTCATTTTATTAGAAATTCCCTCCGAAATGTCAGTGTCGATGTTTAGAGGGTGAGCCCCGGTTTTCGGGAGGGACACAGGACATCAAGTCACAGGCACTGGCTAAGGAAGCAGCTCCCCCGTCCAGCCATCAGTCAGGGTATCCTGGCCACGTGGGGAGAGGCCACGGAGACACGGCAAAGACCCGTTTTTAAGTGTCTTGTTGCCTTTACCCCCGTGGAGACAGAAGACTGCCGGCAGACCCCTCTGCTCCCCGGGATTCAGGGTTAGCCAGGCCCTCCCCCGCCCTTGGCCGTGACGATGCGCCACAGGTGCTGCGAGCTCACAGCTCCGCCAGCTGCGCCCACGTCAAGCCGCCTCCCGGAGGAGTTGGCAGGAGGAGCAGCACCCAGCCCAGCCCGGGGCGGTGGCTGTGGGAGAGGCTGAGATCGCTGCTGGTACCGTTTATTCCTGTGCTAAAATGAGTAGTGCCTCATTTAATGCTCCCAGCCACCCCCAGAGAGGGCATCATTATCCTCCCGGGGAGCTGGCAGGCTGAGTACAAGAGCTAAGCAAGGGGAAAAATAAGATCACTTCTGATAGAGGTCAGCGCAGGTGGTGGGCGGTGGTGTCTGGACAGGTCTACACATGGGTTTTGAAGGATGCATAGGAGTTTTCCAGGTGACCCAAACACATTTCCCAGTATCCTGGTGTGGCTGGCCTTGAGCACAGAAGGATAGAGGAACAAGCGTATGTGGCTTCTGACGCTGGGAGAACAGGGGCTGCCCTTTCCCGAGGGAGAGTGGGTTATGCAACTTCTGCATCGCTCAGCAGCTGGCACCAGAGTGTGTGTTCGAGCCCAGTCCTATCTCTGGGGTTGGCAGCTTAGCACTGAAAGGGTCCTCAGAGACTCCCATCCAGCTCCCTCCAGACATAAAGCTCTGGGGGTGAGGGGCCCTGTCTGTCGTGTTCCCTGCTGACTCCTCACCCCTGAGATGGGACCTGGCATATAGTAGCTGCTTAATAAATGCTCGTGCTGTGGCTACGTGAGAGAAGCCAGACTGAGGCCCAGAGAGGCCCAGTGATTGTCCAGGGACACACAGCAAGGCAGTCGCTGGTTCTGGGTCTGGCCCACAGGGCCGGGCGCCTCCTCTCCTGGTCTCCCAACCGGACCTTGGCTTTTCAGTGACCAGCAGGGGCCCACCTGCGGCCCAGCACCTGGAACCCGCCCCTGCCGCGGGCTTTTTCTGACGACTGTGGGGAGCTTTTCCAACACGTAGCACGTAGCACGGGGGCAGCCCCAATAACACCAAGTCCCAGTGGACGTGTTGCCCCCCCAGATTCGGGGAGCAGTCGGGGGCCTAGGTGGAGATAGGACCCCGATTCTCGTCCCCACTCTGCCCCCCAGACTGGGCATCTCTGGGCCTCTGGAAAAAGAGGAAGAGCATGGGAGACCTGAGCACAGGAGGCGCCCATCACTCCTGCTGGCGGGGTGGTGGACAGACCGTAGGCTCCACAGAACTAGGGCCAGTGGCGGGACCTGGGGGACGGGGTGAGGGAGCTTGTCTCTCCGAGCAGGAAGCCCACAGGCGTGTCTCCAGGTGATAACTCGGGAGCAGGTGGACCGGTGTCCTGTAGAGATAAGGAGGGAGCAGCCGAGAGGCCGCAGCTGGAGGAGAGGCAAGGAGGCCCCCAGGGCGCAGGCCCCTGGGGCAGGGCGGGCCTGGGGACAGTTGCCCCGAGGGCCCCGACCACACCTACACCAGCGACTTTGATAAGAGGTCTGTTTTTTCCCAATAGTTTCCCCAAAAAGAGGGAGAGACTGGAGAGGTGGTTTTCCAACTGTGTTTCGTGGAATGCAGCCTGGAGTTTTGTGCACGATGGGGGTTGGGTTCATGTTAGGGGGTCCAGGCTTAGGGAACCCCACCCACAGCAACCAGGGAGGCCCCGCTGGCGTTGCGTGACCTCCTGGGGTCTCAGGTGGGATTTCTCTTTGGAAAAAGGGCTCCCCTGGGACCCCTGGACCGGATGGTCCCAGAGCCCACCTCTGTGGACCCCCAGCTGGGCCTTCCTGGTGTCTGCCTTTGCCACGGAGCCCCTCGGGCCCTGCCTAGCCCATGGTGGGTCCCAGCCACCCACTCCAATGTGGATGGAGACTCCCTGGCCGTGTGAGCGGGCTGGGCTGGGGCGTCTGCCCCAGGGAGGGCTGCCCACCCGGAGGCGGCGCGGGGTCCAGCTCGGGCCGTCCTGACACTTTCTCACGAGAGCCCCAAGCTCCCCTCGGAGACCCGCCCTCGACTCCCGGCCGTCTTTTGCAGGTACAAGGATTACCGCGAGCCCCCATGGTCGGAACACAAGTACGACATCTCCAAGGACTTCTGGGCCGTCCTGGCGGCACGGCTGGCGTTCGTCATCGTCTTCCAGGTGCGGGGCCTGTCAGGTTCCAGGTTTGAGAATCGGGGCACTGAGGAAGACCCCAGGAGGGACCTTCAATGAGGACCCCCAACGCCCTGTGCCACGACAGGTCCCAGGAGAACCTCATGGGCAAAAGGAAGGCAGAGGGAGGGGCCAGGCCAGCACTGATGGCAGCATTTGGACTCATTTGGCGAAGGCAGCTTTAGTTCACTGTGCGTGGAGACATGGAGGAAGGGCGACCCCCTCGTCTCTGTTCTGGGCACAGAGCACGTCTCCCCAGTGGACAGGGCCAGTAGAAAGGAGGGCAGCCCCCAGCCAGCAGCCAGGGGACCCAGCCCCACCTGGCCCAATCTCTGGGGAGGAGACAGGGCTAACTCTGAGGCCAGAGCAATTCCCAGTGGACAGGACCCCCGACAGGGGGCCGGCTGGTGCACACAGAGGCTGAGGTCCTGGAGGTGGGGGAGCACATGTAGCTTTCCATGACACTCTGCAGTTGGAACAAGTGTCTGGGGCCAGGTTCCCAGAGGCAGAGCCTGAGACAAGGATTCTGTGCAAGTGGGTCATTGAGGGAAGCCCCCGGAGAGGGGAGGGAGCCCGGCAGAGAGGGGTCCTGGCTGGAGACAGCCTTACCTGATCCCACCCGGAGCTCCAGAGCATGAATCCCACCACACACAGGCCCACCGTGAGGCACAAGAGCCCCTCTGGTTAGCCCATGTTGGCTGGTCATTGGCTGTTGGCGTGCAGGCCTGGGAAGAGGGAGACGGGAGGGGGCGGTTCCCTGGAGAGGGGGCAGCCGTGAGCGTTAGCAGCCAACACCGGCCACAGCTGGGGGCTGGGAGCGCCAACCAGGAAAGGTGGTCTGGTGGGCACCAGCACCGTCCACGACGAGGCGACTCCCTCAGCCGGACGTGCTGACAAGTGGTCCCTGGACGAGGTCTAAAATAACAAAGAGGTTTCAGTGTTTCTGTAAAAGCCCACTCATTTGCATTCTGTGCACCAGAAATCTCTCCAGCGAGGGGGCAAACGTTCCGGGTGGTCTGGGAGGCCCTGCGCTGCAGAAGGGCCTGCAGAATCATCAGACAGTTCAATTTCCATCCATTTTTGTGCGATTTCTAGTTTAACTATTTTCCTTAAAGCCTTAACACTTGTTATATTTGGTGCTGCGTGACCAAGCGGATCATTTCTCCAGCCTCCCAGCCAAGGGATTCAGAATCCTTCCGAGGCTTTTCCTATTTACCGAGCTCAGATTCTTTCAAGAAAGTCAGCCAACATTTCCGGCGGGCCAGCCGGCTGGTCTCCTGCCTCGTTGATACCTTCCAGGAGACCGAGGGCGGGGAAGCTCCGAGGATGTGCCTGAGGTCACAGGGGTGGGAAGTGATGGGGTGAGGCACGGCCAGGTGGGGGGCAGGTAGAGGTGGGGGGCATTTCCCAGGGCCTCATTCCCGCCCCCACGGGCTGACTCCCCTTGCAGAACCTGGTCATGTTCATGAGCGATTTCGTGGACTGGGTCATCCCGGATATCCCCAAAGACATCAGCCAGCAGATCCACAAGGAGAAGGTGCTCATGGTGGAGCTGTTCATGCGGGAGGAGCAGGGCAAACAGCAGCTGCTGGACACGTGGATGGAGAAGGACCGGAAGAAAGATGAGCCGTGCAACAACCACAACCCCAAAGCCTGCCCGGACAGCCCCGAGTACCCTGGGGGCGCCCTGTAGCTGCCCCCGGTGTCCCCAGTGATGGGCACCCTCCCCCGGCAGGCGGCTTCCCGCCTCCAGCAGGCCCAGTGGCTCCTGTGTTTGCTGCAAACGTGGAAGGCCACATTCTGATAGGACAACATTTTTCTGTCTTTCCTTCTGTGTTTTATTTTTCCTTGTTTTTGCACAAAACCGTTACGCAGGGAATTTTTTTATCTTTAGCATTCAAGGTTAATCAAAATGATCGCTGGGAGGGGTGGTAACGCGCGGCGCATGCAGGTGCTTTGCAGAAGCAATTCTCGGAGACCTTGGGTCTCCTTTGTGTGGAAGGTGAGCAGAGGCTTCCGGAAATCTTCTGTAATCCTCCTGATGCCTCAAGAGGGATGCAGGATGGTATTCCAAGGCGTTGAGCGCAAGTTGTTGTGTTATTGGAGGGAGACGGAGGAACCGATGAGAAATAGATGATGTTGATGCTGGTTCCAAAAGGCGTCACCGGCCTCTAGGTCAGAAAAGTGAGATGACTTGTCATCTCTTCCTTCCTTAGGTTCAGAAACCAAGACGCTCTGGTGAGAAAGAGAGGTGCCCTGGCCCTGTCCACTCAGGGCGCCTGGGAGCTTAGAATTTACTCTTGGAGAACAAGAGGGGTGCAGGTGGCCCTGAGTAGGCAGGCGACCCGCACCTTTGGGGCCCCCACTGTCAGCCACACACCCCCAACCACCACGAGCTGACCTCAGAATTGTTCGTCCCCCTTGTGGGACAAACCCGGTTGACAGGAAAACAGGCAGTGACAGATTACCTCGGAGGCATTTCTAGAGACGGTGTAAGGGTTTCAAGAAGTCTTAAAGCATCTGGGGGGGACACTTACAGCCTTAGGATATTTATTGGGGTTTTTTGTAAATCAATTCTATGGTGGATTTGAGGGGTTTTTTCTGTAGCTCAGAGGTGGAAGGAGTTTATTTTCTTAGTTAACCAAATATCATTGAGAGGAATTTAAAATACTGTTACTACCAAAGATTTTTATTAATAAAGGCTTCTATTTTGGTAACACTTCTCTATATTTTTACTTACAGGAATGTACTGTTGGACAATTATTATTTTAAAAGCTTGTAAAGACAAGTCTCATAGATGATATGAGTCATCTAAATTTGCAGCAATTCTACTAACCAATTCTCTGAAATTTCTCAAGCACAAGGGAAACATAAAAAATGTGTCACCGAAGGGAGGGAAGAAGACTTCAACGTGTGTGTCTCAGACACGTGGCGGGTGTGATATTGACTTTCCCATAAGCTGCCAACTGTGACGGAAGCCCAGAGGTGTCGTAGATTTTCATTATTTGCTAAAATCATGCGATCTGATGCTTCTCTTTCCTCTTGTACAGTCAGTAGTTTGAAATGGGGTTTTTGTATATAAATATTGTATTAAAAATTAGGTGATGACCAAACATCCTTTTATGGAAACCATTCTTTTTTTAAGTGAGCGCACGCAAATCCACAGAGGACCGGGGCTGAGCAGGCGTCTAAATAAATCTGGACACACAACACTTTCCTCCCTCCATGGCTGGCCGCATGGCCTCCACCCCAGGAAACGCGAGGGGCTGAGAAGCCATCCCCGTGGTAGAGCCAGAGATGCGGGAGAGACTTATAGGCATCCGTTTCCTTCAGTGCCAGACACGGGAATTGTTCTAGATGTTCCCGGGACTTCTTTTCTCTGCGAGTGTGTGTGAGTATGTGTGTGTTTGCATGGCTTGTGTCTGTGTTTGCGCATGTGTGTGCAGGTGTGTTTGTGTGTGCTCGTGTCTGTGTGTGCACGTGTGTGTTTGTGTGTGCTTGTATCCCTGTGCACGTGTTTGCATGTACGTATGTCTGTGTCGGGGTGGCTGTGCACGTGTGTGTATTTGCACTTGCTTGTGTGGACACGTGTGTGTGTGTTGGGATGGGAGTAGTGGTCACCCTTCCCGGCAGCCTCTTCCTCAGTCCCCAGATCCTAACCCCTGGTCCCACCAACCCAACAGAGTAGTTTTTAGGATTTCAAGGACCTCAAATTTCCCCCAAACCTTTTGGGGACCCACCTAGGGTGGCCAGACCTGGGCAAGTGGGGACGCTTTTTTGAAGCCACCACCTATAACCACCGTTATTTCATGAAAGAAAGGATACTTTTCACACCCAAACGTCAGCAAAGAGCACAGCCCTGTGAGCCGGCCGCATTCCTCAGGCGCCGTTCGGGCCTCCATCTCGCTCACCCCCAGGACCGGGAGAGCCTCGGGCGCCCCCTGGTGCCGTGTTCCTGCGTGCCCAAGAAAATCAGCAAACCCAGCTCCCGGCGCCCCGGTGACCCCGCGGTCCCTTAGTCCTGTGTGAGGGCAGCGCCAGGGCAGCGTCGCGGGAACCGCTGCCGTCTCCACAGGTCCTCCCAGAAGCCTGTGAGGCTCACGGGGGATCTTTAGCCCCAGTTGATAGACAAGGAAACAGGCTCAGAGTGGGGAGGCGACTTGCCCAAGGTCACAGGGCTCCTTGCACCTGAGCTGGGACTGGCACCCAGACCTTATAGACATTCATTCACTCAACGTTCAAGAAAGCAGCAGAGAAGAAAGCAGACACGGCCTCTTCCCTCGGGGGAGGACTTCTTGGGGAGGGCGTCAGACACTTAACTCCAGAACCAGATAATTTCAGAGGATGAAAGGGGTGCTGATGGAAATACAACACGGGGTGTGACTGACAGTGACTGAGTTGGTCAGGGAGGCCCCTGGAGACCTGAGCAATGAGGAGCCAGAACGTAAAACCCCGGAAGAAGGCAGGACGGTTCAGGCAGCGGGAACAGCACGTGCAAAGGCCCTGAGGCAGCAGCATACTGGGTGAGTTCTAGGAGTGGCAAGAAGGACAGTGTGCCTTGAACGGAGGGGCAGGGACGGCGGCAGGATATGGAGTAGGAGAGGGAGCCGGAATCAGCTCACACGGGGCTTTCTGGCGATGTGAGGACTTTGGGCTTGGTGGTAAGTTCCACGGCAGGGGCTGAGTGGTCTTAACCAGCGCAGTGACGGGATCTGATTCGCGTTTTGAGGTCATTGCAGCAGGTGGGTGGAAATTGCAGTGGGGTGGGAAGCCAGAGAGGAGAGTGTCCCAGAAATTCTGGTGAGCAATGTTGGGGCTTAGCCGAGGGTGGCAGAGGTGGGTGAAGGGAAGCCAGCAGATAATATCACAAAGACCTGAGATCTGGCAATGAAAGGCCCCCCGGAGATCAGCTGGTCAGCCGGCACCGTTAATTCACAGGCAGGCACAATGAGGCCCAGAGAGGGCCAGAGCTCCACTGCAGTCACACAGCAAGCTGGCCACACAGCCATGCCCCGGACCCGGGCTCTGTGGCACCTAGCACGGAACGCTCTCTGCTACTGGTCCCTGGAGCGCTGTGGTGGGAGCACGGCAGGCCCGGATGCCCCGCACGGACAGTGACGGCAGTGGCCTGCATGGGGCCTGAGGTCTGGGACCAGCAGGCACCCCTACCAGCATCTGCTACAGGGAATCAGCTGCCCTCCCCCGAGGGTGGAGGCTGCCGTGAGCTGCACCCAGCCCAAGACAACCCCCGTATGATGGGTTCCATGTTTGTTAAAAATCTTTAGTTGATTTAATGTATAAAAACCAGGTAAATCCACATAAAAATCTAGATTTGCAAGTTCTCTTCAAAATCACACCATTTGTTGACACAGCCCTGTTTTTCACCGGGCCACACTCTCACATGCGACTAGAGCCCCGTGGAGGCTGCTCTTCCTTAGATGGTAGGTATGTTCTCCAGCCCACCACAGTCCCCCTCCCCACCCTCCCAAACGTGCTCCCCCACTGGCTAAGGGGCAGCTGAGACCGTGGCTCCCAGAGTGGCCGGCCTTTCTAGATAAGCCTCGGGCCAGGTCCCCATCCTGGGATCCAGGACCAGCTGTAGGATTCCCTGAAACAGAGCTCGGCCAAGGTGTGTGCCTGGGACAGGGCTGTCCCCGCTCCAAGGCTGGACTCAGAGACCCCGTCCCAGAGCACCCACATCCCCAACCCCACACGCATGCATCTACAGGTTCCCAGGAGCCATCTGTGTGCCCCCTAAAATGACCCACTACCACAGGTGGTGTGTGTCCCCACACTCGGGCAACACTCATTCACCTGTCCATGTTTTGTAAGAGCCACAGCAAAGTAGAGAAGTGCTAACACTTGCCAGAAAACAGAGCAGGAAGGAGAACTGGCACAGCGTCAGGCACAGAGGAGGCACCAGAAAGTGCTGAACAAGTGTGAGGGATGGATGAGTGTGTGGGTGGGTGGCTGGATGGATGGATGGATGGATGGATGGATGGATGGGTGTGTGGGTGGATGGCTGGCTGAATGGATGAATGGGTGGATGGATGGATGGATGGATGGATGAATAGATGGTCTTTCGATGGATGGACATTTAGATGGATGGACATTTAGGTGGATGGATGGACATTTGGATGGATGAATGGATGGGTGGATGAGTGGATGGATCTTTGGATGGATGGATGGATGGATGGATGGATGGATGGATGGATGGATGGAGAGAGGGCTCGCTCTTGGGATGGATGGACATTTAGATGGATAGATGGATGGCAAATAGACTGACAACGAGGCCTTTCTGCCTTTGAGCTGAGTGGACCTCGGGGTCAAACTGGCAGGGTGTTAGTGCAGCAGATAAGGGGGTACATGGAAGGTAAGCTCTGAGGCCTTCTGGCCCACAGATATGCCCACAGCACATAGCACGCCCACTGCTCACTCACACAGCCTTTGGCAGAGGAGCATATGGCAAAGATACAGCTCTCACCTGGAAACCCTGAGGTGGACCAGCACAGGCACGGCAGCTAGTTTCCCAGAGGGGCTGGTGTGTGCTGCCCCCACCAGGAGCCTGCCGGGAATGCACCCCTGAAAAAAGGCAACCTTGTAGATACTAAGGTCTGATTCCCTCAGCTCTGCCAGGTAATTTACTTACTGTGTCCACTCTTACTCTCCCCTCCTCGCCCCCCTACCACTACCCCCTTCCTCTCTCTCTCCCTCCACATTTTTATCAAAGGATAACGTACAGAAAAGTGCACATATCTTAAGTGTACAGTCAACTTCCACAAAAACACTGTAGCCAGGACCCAGAAACAGAATGTCACCACACCTCAGAAGCCCCCTTCTTGGTCCCTTCTGGTCACCCCTCCTCCCGCACCTACACGGGGTTCTGACTTCGAGCCACA